ACTAATGTTTCTTCAGCTTCTGCACTGTCAATTTTGAAAATCGAAATGAGAATCGGTTCCAAACAATAGACGATATATTTTGAAATCTTATTTGGCCATTGAGAAATATTTTAATTGCCGTTTTCGATGTTTCGCGACGGTTATACTTTAAATTTCCTGGTGGCACGTCAAAGAGAAACCCGCGTCGGTTCAGACGTCAGAAGGGAAATTTTTGATTTCACGGCACGTAGCCAGGCGTCCCACGATACGCGGTACGATTTTGGCCGTGAGCGATTCATCGACAACTCGCTTTGCCATACGGACCCACAGAAAACGGTCGAATTGGACCGGTTAAAAGAAAAAACACGTTAAAAATAACGAATTTGCCGGATTATTAGTAAGCAGTGGTACGATGAAATAGCAAGGACATGAATTTACGAAAAAGAAAGTCCCAGATTTGGAAAGACTGCTAATATATATATTTGAATTTCGGAGGATCGCTTTTGCACGCACAGAGAGAGAGAGAAAATACTTTATCCTGGGACTAGAGTCCTCAAAGAATAACAAGAAGGTCACAAAATTATACAAATCTGGCACTTGAATTAACTTAGGTTTGACGTTAACATAAAGTGAAATAAATACTAAATCGCATAAAACATTTTTTTTTATTTAAATTTATTTGTTATCTATGCATGATGTACACATGATTAATGTATCACACAGCAACTAGCACTAATACCAGCACTGCACCGGAAGAACACATGCTTTGAGGAGTCTGTGCTGGTACTCAATGTGTATGATGTGTCAAGGAGGTCCCGAGGCCACCGTCGCGACGGTAGAGGTGATCTGGCGGGTTGTCAGGTTGGGAATGAGTGGCTCGAGTAGTATGGTTAGGATGGTTCTAAATGTTGGTGTGGACGTTTTGGAATCTGGACCAGATAAGTTCGTTGGCAAAAGAATGTTGAGCTCTTTGTCGATAATAAGGTTAGTGACATAATAAGGTTCTTTGACAATTTGTCTAAGGACTTTCGATTGTAAGGACTGGATGCCCTGGGTTTAGACGGCTTGACAGTACCCCACAGTTCCACTCCGTATGTCCTTATTGGTCTTAGTAATGTTTTGTACAGAGTTAGCTTTGTCTTAATTGTCAATGTCGATTTCGTTCTTAAAAGTCTTCGTAGTAGTCCAAGTCTTGTATTAAGTTCGTTTTTTAAGACTTGTCTGGGGATTCCACATCTGCTGTCGAGATATAGCCCAGGTATTTGAGTTGAGTGGAAACTGGTACATTTTTGTTCTTGATGTACAATGGAGGGCAAGATAATACAAAATATAAAAAACAAATAATAGTAGCAATATTATAGAATTCTCTGTCTTTGTACGAACATAATCACAACTGTAAACTTAAAAGTTGAGAAAAGGAAGGTAACAAGCTTTCTAATTTAGTAAAAACACCTAACATCATTGTGGACTATGTTGTCTCTGTTTGGAGGGAGATGAGGTGTTAGTGCAGGCGGGATAACCGGAGGAACCTTTGCGGATAGGCAAAGGAAGAGAATTCCGTAGATTTGCCGCTCGACCTAGGAAGGACCTCTCCAATGTCGAGGTTTTACGAGAGGAAGATAGGTCATTGGGAAACGAGCGCGTGTTGTCAGTGGATAGCGGATTTGTAGCTTGAAAATAGTGAGAGAGTTTATGGATTGGTAAAGGAAGTAGCTTAGGAAATAAATTTTACGGAAGGAGATATAGGATAGATCTGAATTCAGGTGTCATACTCTAGACATTCGGAGGTTGCTGAAAATAAATCTTACACAACCATTCATCAGTCTTGTGAGACGCTCTTCTTGTTCCTACGAAAGTCCACCATTTACATAAAACACGCTGAGAAAGATTTCAGAAATACGCGCGCTGCTTTTACTCGAAAAACAAAAGGTAGCAGGACGTTATTCACGTTCCCCACTTATCCACGTTAGGAGTCAAAATAACACTTTCATATTCGTCTTCTCTTTCGTATTATCCATGTAGCCTCGGCTACCGATCGGAGAGGACTTTGCATAAACAAAAGGCCGACACGGAACTTTCTTTCTGGGCTTAAACGACAAGTATTTGATCACACGTACTCTAAACCGTCTGATAATCGAACTCGTTTCGACATATTAAATCCAAATCCAAAATCTTATGCCAAACACCACAAACTAGCCACTCTTAAACGATCCATCTTCATCAGAAAAATCCTCCATGGCACTTATATTACTCAAGACCCAGCTCTATGAAAAATGATGTGGACATTCCGCTTGTTTTCCTGCAATATGCAGGGTGTCCTTTTTAGATGGCCGGGCTGAGTTTCTCTTGAAGCAATGACTCTATAAAAAAAACTTGTTTAATATTTTTTAGTCTAGTCTCAAATTGATTACTTTTTTGGAGTAAAATTATACTGAGTACCTCAAGACCAGTTAAACTTCAAAATTTCAAATACGACCCTACACCTCCTTCAGTTCACCTCTAATGGCATACTAAACCGTTAGAATTTTCGAACGTGAGAAAAGGAAAATGCGAGAATTTGGTACTGTTGTCATCATCAGGAGGTTTACAGTATCAACTTTTGGTGTGAACTTCTCGGAAATAAATTAATTGGGCCTTATTTCTGCGAAAATCATTTAAATTATTAAAATCGGTTCCTCAATTTTTTGAGGGAGGTTTTACCCACACTTTTAGATGATGGTCCTCTGCAACAATGACAAAAGATGATTCTCCAGTTTGATGGATGCCCCGCACACAATTCTTTGGAGGTGAAATTTGAGTCGTCACTTTCGGGATAGAGCTAGATAGGACCTCATGGCGGGTCTGTTGGCCGATTTAACTCCACTTTTTTCTGTGGGGCCATTTATTCTTCTTTTTCTGGTATTTCTCACATATTTTGTGATGTTGCAGCCATTTGAGCGTCTCGATATGGTTACCGATTTTCTGCTTTTATCAGTATACTGCGTCGATATCCTAAACTGCTTGCCTCTCGTGTCTACATCAGGTTGTCGGAGAGAAAGAAGGAGGTCTGGTCATATTCAATCCCTAGAGGGCGAGAGGGCTTGAACCCAGTCCATTCTTGCGAATAATACTTACCCTCCAAACCTTACACACTCACCCCAGATACGCGATATTCTTTGGGGCGGGGTTGAAAATCCCTTCTTTTCACGCTAATAAATGATATTTATTACAATAAATTAACGCAAACACAATACTTTGATCAATTCCTATATATAATTCTAACCCTTTCATTGCAAGAATTTCCTTCATCTTCCGAGAGACACACGAAATTGCAACCCTAAATTCCATCAAGGGGCCCACGCATTTTTACTGACACCATTTACCGTAATACTGATATTTATAAAGCTGTCATTAACAAATATTTTTTCTATCCACGATGTTGTTCAGCCACATAAAATTTTAAATTGGAAATTTACTCTCCAATATCAAAAGTCGTTTTATCATTATTATCATTTTAAAATATTATTTGTTGTTATCCCGTTTCCTTGTCCTTAAAATAACAATTGCATAATACAGTTAACATTTGCAATAACAACTTTTGAATTGTAATTCAGTTAACACGAACATTTGATCTTTTTTTTTAATATTCACGTGCTAAAATATTAAACACGGTCGAGAAGACCAACGGTTAATAAACTTCAATTAAATCTCCAAATAAATAATTAAATTATTTAAGTCATCAAGGACGTCTTTAAGACGTCGTCGTTTTACTTGTTTCTCTAACTAGCCATCCAAACGAGGTACTCTTATAAATTGGCAAGTTCAACAGTTTTTCCCTGTATTCTGAAAATGTTTTCTCGGTCCAGCATCTTCAGAACACTTTTATATCTGTTTATCCTTGTCGTGTGCTGACTTGCAAACCTCTCAATTTCTTATAATCCTGTCTGAATAATAACTGAGGAGATTTAGCATATTCTAACACCCAAATAATGATTTCTTTGGCACAAACACAGAGCCGAACCGGTAAAGAATTTAGGCCAATAAGTGTCTTATAAACTGGTAGGTTTTAATGCCTTGGTACAATGGTGAACAATAGATGGAACCATTTGTGTTTTTCCTGGAGACCTGAAGTTTTAAAATATTATCAATCAATCATCCATAAAGAAATGTGAGGATTCGTCGGATGCTGAACAAATTCCCGTACAATGAAAATGATAAATACCAAAATACAAGAGGAAGTGGAAATAAAAACATCCTTATATTTAACACATCAATCAACGCGCGGTTATCTTTTTCACATGATTATAGGAGAATAACTTCATACTTCCTTTTGGATATTAGTCGAAAAATCATGGCAGAAACATTTCCAAGTGAACCGGTGTGAAATGGAATGTACAGAGCGGTGGAAATTTGAAGAACAATTATGCATGATGGGACGACAATAAAAGAAAATTTATTAATGTTTAATCTCGATTGTCTTCTAATAGTCTTATATTGATTAAATTTGAGGTGTACTTCCGTTTAGTATCTTTTTGACATATCCCAACCAATATATTCTGTCGTCATGGAATTTTGCATTACATATAACGATATGAAATATAATACCATTGAAGTTGAGCGTAGGTGGTCTTTTTTGGTTAATGAAGAAGATTCTATTTCAATTAATTATTCTTTTTATGTTAAGAAATCCTTCGGTTCAATACGCCGCTGCTCCCCAGTAGTCAAGCGGTTCCTTGAGCTACCGTGACTTCGATCCTCTCGGGCATCAATCCTCCCATCTCAACCTACAACCTTTCGAATCAACTAGGTGGGGTACCGCGAATGAATGAGGTCGTGGGTTCGAATCCCGCTCGAGACGCTGACTTTTTCATCTGAACCAAAACCTTACATCAACTCCATCCTCTATTTTCCAGCTTTTGGTCTATTTTTTAATTTTGTCACTTGCATTTTGTAAATTTTCCATCCCTCGCGCTTTGACCCTAGTGAATATTAGTGTATTTGAGTGTATTACAATTAATAAAATTTTTGTTGTTATGTTGCAGGTCCTTGGCTATCAGCTAAGGGTGACGGGCCTCCTCCCCCGTCGAGGGAGACATGGAGTCGAGGATTGGATTGGACTACATCGTAGAAAATCCGGAATACACAGTAAAACTTGCCGCAGGTAACTTTAAAATTACATTTCGCATTGGCCTAGTTTAGTTTCCAAAAGAACAAATAATGATATATTGACGAAGAAAAACCGATGGACTAACGTGTTTTGTTAACAGCCAACTACGTTTATAAAGTGTAACTGTAAACAATTTTCATTATTTAATATTTATATATCAGTTTGATTTGACCACAGATGCTTTTTTCGAATCGTCCTTTCGGATGATTAAATTATCTCCATGGGCTTAAATTTGATTAAGTTGTATTTTTTCGGAAAATAAATTTGCGAAATGGTATCTTTGGAAATGTAATTGTACAAGTTCAGTCGATAATTTTCTTCCTATTTTTATCTAAATGTTAATACCGCGATATCGAACCAACATGATCGAAATTGACCTAACTTCAGGTTCATCACGCCGCTTAACCCAAACGGAAATTTCACAAATGGAGCCTAATTTCTGGCGCTCTTTTACTATTGTCATCCATCATCACAATCCATAGTGCAGTTGAAAAAAAAACTTTCCAACTATCGCCGTTTGATTGAGTATATTTATTTATTTATATACGGATAATCCTTGTTCAAAAATATATAAATGTATTACAAGTAATTTAATTACGAGCTTATCAAATTAACAATATTCATACTAATAATCATTACAATGACTTTTTTTCTCGACCAAGGCGTTATATAGAAATAATAATTAATTGAAAGAAGTGACTTGGTCAATTGACCATTAAAACGTAAATGGATTAATATTTAATAAGTAAAAGGAATAATCACTTCACTAATCACCTCTCCGTCGCCACTTCAGAAGTCGCTGAGAATCCAATCCTGATTACATGACATTTGAAAAATGGCAAAAAGAGGGAAAATTCGAAGGGTTGTAGGTTGAGATTGAGAGTTGGTGTCCGAGAGGATCAAAGTCACGTAACCCAAGTGGTAGAGCAGCGGCGTATTTAGCCGAAGGTCGTGGGTTCGAATCCCGCTCGTGACACTGACTTTTCATCTCAACGAAGACGTTACATAAAAAGAATAATTAATTGAAAAAAGTTGATTGGTCAATTGACCACTAAAACGTAAATGAATCAATACAATGTTTACACATAATGTGGTGTTATTAACAATAATATTCATTTGGATAGAAAAAAATGTTTGTTATAAAATGAATATACAGGGTATATCAAGTTCTATAGTACACCCATTTATTTCCAAAATGAACGAGCAAAAAATCGTCACACAAATCCCAAGTTAATTTTGGCTAGGAATCGCCTGGTGGTAACAGATTTAACATAACATCTCATCTTAGTGGAAAATAACTCTTATTTTAAACAAGAATCCCATATTTTTAGTGTTGAATTCGATTCTAGAGCTTATTTTATGCTACATTTTCTGAAAAGAAAATTTCGATAGGATCGACTATTTCTGATTTATGCCCAACGGAAGACGCGTGAGGGGGTTATGCTTTTTATAACGGGGCCCACCCTTTTACTTCGGAAACGATTAATTTTAGCAAGCAATAGTCATATACAACCCCAATGTTAATTTTGCCTTGGAATCGCGTGGTGGTAACAGATTTAACATAACATTCTCATCTTGGTGGAAAATAACGCTAACTTTATTTTAAATTTTTATTGTTCAGTTCGATTTAATTCGATGCCTTTGAGAAATCAGTGTATTTATTAACTTGTCTCCCTTTTTCAATTTCCCTGGATATTGTTTCTGCCACTATCACTGGGATTGAGCGACCATGAATGAATCCATGCTGAAACGAGTGTATAATTAATAGAATTGATAAATGGTGGAGTGAATGTGTTGTTCAATCGTTTTAAAAAGTTAGTCCCTATACAGATAAAGTGTTTCATGAACAACAAATTAATTAAATTTGTTCTTTTTTTTGAAACGCTATGTAGACGTTATTTTATGCATATTGTCCGGAACATTAGAGGATCTCAATGAATTACTCCAACTAATTAATTCTTTACATCATAATATAAATTTTACATTGGAAATTAGTAAAAATGGTTGTTTAAACGTTTTAGACCTCAAACTGTCCACATTAAATTGTCTAATTGAAGTAGACGTATATAGAAAACCCACAACTACAGACACTACCAGCGGATTCTTCTCACCCATGGACACAAAAAGCTGCTGGTTTCATTTGGCTCAAAGTCCGTATGCTAAAACTCCCATTAACACCTGCTAAATAAAAACTAACTACTAAAAAGGGTGTTTAATTTGACTGAACATAGGGGATATACCTTGCATTATAATTGATTCAAATATTTTAGGAATATTCTCAAATAATTGAACACAATTTTTTCGAAATGAAAAATTTGTGTCACAGACGGGATTCGAACCCACGACTTTCGGCCTAATGCGCCGCTGCTCTACCACTTGAGCTACCGTGACTTCGATCGCCCAAGCCACAAACTTCTCATTTCCACTCTCCGATTTTATTCCAATTGTAAGCAAATAGAATTCATGTAGAAGCACTTTTTACTAACGATTGTACTAGATTAGCGGGACTGTGTACGATTCGCAAGTGTGATTCTAGATTAATACTAAATTTTTAATTATTTTATCAGCTTCTACTTAATTCTATAAATACTCAATTAATTATACACAATTTTTTTCGAAATAAAAAATTTGTGTCACAGGGCGGATTCGAACCCGCGATTCGAAGTCACGGTAGCCCAAGTGGTAGAGCAGCGGCGTATTTAGCCGAAAGTCGTGGGTTCGAATCCCGTCTGTACACAAAATTTTCATTTCGAAAAAATTGTTTATAATTAATTGAGTATTTATAGAATTAATTAGAAGCTGATAAAATAATTAAAAATTTAGTATTTTAAGAATATGTTATAAAATGGATTCTTGGTTTTTTACATTATTCCTCTCTCCATGTTTATACAATGGTACAAAAAAACCGATTTTCCATAAATCAGGACAAAACTTTGGTCCAGGGAAAAATTAAAAAGCTTTTGAAAAAATGTAGAAGTAAGGGTAGAATTCTGTCAGTTCCGGTGATTTATCGATCTTAATAGAACTTAAGTGAGACTGAACTTCCTGTAAGAGAAAATGTGTTGAATAATTCCAAAAAAAGTATCAGATGAACTTCAACATGTGTGTATTACGGCATAATTATATAGAGTTCGCTCCCTTTGACTTTCTGCATGTCCGTCGTATCAGCCCTGATCCACGAATTTCGCCTCCCGCCGGAATGAGATATTCTTCACGGTTCACATTTGAAAACGGCTAATGGATTCTAATGTACGCGTCGACTTTCACCGTCCTTATCGAGGAGGCACCGATGGCATAACGAGGATTGTGAATTAATAATCTCAGGTCGTGATGTGTTATTTTTATTTTCTAGGTATTAACTTCTAGGAAGGAGTGTGCAATTCAAATATGTTAAGAATACTAGACTCGGAAACAACGAAAACACAGATCCTTATCAGAACCGGGCTCTCGGCCGCGAGGGTAAAAAGTCGTTACATCATCACTCGATAAAAAGTAAAGGAGAAATTATTACTCAGGCCGCTAGCTTGCAAAGAGCTGGATTCTGGAATCGGTTCCAGCGGCCCTCCTGTCCACGCGATCCGGCTCGCTCGTTTCAATGGGTTTTCAACAACTCGTTCTATCAACCGGCCGTTTTGAATATTCATCGAGATTTTGTAGAGCCGAGGGTTATCTAAGAGTTGCTCTCTCTTAGCCGCCCGTTACAAGGCGTCCCTCGATGACGTATCAATAATGAACCGATCAAAAATCAATCCGTTATTCAACATATCTGTTTTGTAATGAACTTTTTTATGTATGTATAGCCTATACAAATTTAAACATATTACAAACCCGATCACTGTACGTTTTTCTTATCACACGGTCACAGCACACTAATGCCAGCGTTGAGAGAGAAAATACTTTATTCTTGAACTAGTCCCCTAAGAATAAAAAACGTCACAAAAATTTTTCAAATATTTGGCACTTGCATTAATGAAGGTTTGTCGTTAGCATCAAGTAAAAAAGTTGAACTTAATCACACAATACAAAGTACATAAAAAGGTTTTGGAGAAAGTGGTAATAATAAAGAATTCTCTGTCTTTGCGAAAAATCAGATGATGTAAGCTTAAAAGTTGAGAAAAGGAAGGTAACAAGTTTTCTAATTTACCTAAAGCACCTAATAATATTGCGAACTATATGGTATTGGTTGAAATGAAAAGTCAGTGTCACGAGCGGGATGACACTGACTTTTTCATTAGAACCACAAAATATAATGGATTTTGAACTATGTTGTCTCTGTTTGGACGGAAATGAGGTGTTCCAACAGACGGACTTTAAAAGAGGTAAGGGTGGCAGCTTTCCGCATCATTGAATTTTAACTTAACAAATTTAGACCTTTAGACGATTGAATAAAATTGGTGCAGTTACCGAGTAGAATCTCGTTATCCGAGCTCTCACTCATTCATTCGCGGTACCCCACCTAATTGAACGTGTATATATGTTTTACAGCGTGAAATAAATTTTATGTATGTTACCGTAGATCCTATAAGTTCATACATAGCATTGAACACGCGATACTGAAAGTGTCGAATTAGTATGCATATGAACTGCTCAAAAATGAATAGGGTTATCTGTAATTTATTCATATTATATTAATTTTAATAAAGTTTACCGATTTATTATTGTTAGATAAAACAAAATTGAACGTACCAACAAAAAACAAACAAATGTTCATAACGCCCTTTTTAATTACGGAGTTACTTAAGAATAGTAAATACAAAGATTACTCATTTTATAAACAAACAATTTTTCTTATCATTTCTCCATTTTAATCCAGTTATCTTTAACCATGGATGAAATCTATCTATCTATCTATTCATCTCTCTGTCTTTAACCGTGGAAAGACATCATCTTGAACCAAAAGTTCGCAATATTATTGCGGGAATGATTCATGGAGGTCATCGGTAAGGGGATATTACAAGGTAGTTGGGGCTTCTTAGACCTTGGTCTCCCGGGCT